AGACGAAATATGACTAGTATAAGTATATATTTCCAAATTTCCATAATTTATATTTCAATATTGGAATCTAATTGTATGGTTTGTATGTAACGGAATCTAACCCTAACTAAAATAGTTAGGTTGTAGTCAGTCGATAGGGTTCAAACACATGATTAAAATAATTATGATCCTCCTTTTTCTTTAAAGGTCATTTTTCAACCTAGAGACTAAGGGGTTGTAAGTTGTTATATCACTCTTTGTGCGTTGACTTTTGTAGCACTATTATAAGTTTATAACCCTAAGTTGAGGGAACTTTTGAATATTTGTAAACCTAAAAAATCACAAAGTAAATAGGGTAGTTGTTTGTCATGTTATATCCTCTAGGTCATTTGGGATCACTATTTGCAATGTTTTTTTTTTTCCTCACTTTATTTATATATCTGTGTTGTTGTGATGAGAAAGCATAAAAATTAAACTTTTTTTATAAAATTGTAGATACGGTAAATCTACAGTTATTATGTACTCAATAGTTATTATGAAATAAATTAAAGGTAAATCTACATACATATATACAAACCCTCGACTCCTTTCTTATGATCCTAAGCTTTCTTCATAAAGCTCGAGGTGGGTTGGTATGTGCTAATTGCATAAGAGAAAAGATACAGAGTAGAATGTTATGCCTAAGTAATTGACTAATTGGTAAGGATCGCTTAGGTATATTTGATTGTAGAGTATTCACTATATTATGCGTGTATTACGAGTTTTGTTATTAATCTTATAGATAATTCGTGACTAATATAATGGGTAAAATAGGATAAGGGTTCCAAACTTAAAACTTAAAGTGTTTTAAGTGCCATATTAGCTTCATATAGATAATTAAACCTATTAAAAGGGACATGATGACTAGAGCTGTCAATTCGGGTAAACAGGTCGGGTTTGGGTCGGGTTAGTGTGGGTCAGGTCAACTCGGGTCGGGTTAATGTCGTGACCTATACGGTTCGGGTTGGGTCATATGCTTGATATGGGTAACGTCGGGTCATACATTTTATTGGGTTAAGGTCGGGTTTAAGTCGGGTTAATAACAGGTCGGGTTACATTCGGGTCGAGTGAATAATAGGTCGGGTTTAATTCGGGTTTTCACGGGTTAAAACGGGTTAGGGTCATTCTCAGGTTCGAGTCGGGTTCGGTTCAAGTCAATAATTTGCGGGTTATAATCAGGTCGGGTCGTTCTCGGGTTTGAGTCGGGTTCGGTTCAAGTCAATAATTTGCGGGTTATAATCAGGTCGGGTCATTTCCAAGTCGGGTCATTCTCGGGTTCAAGTCGGGTTTGGTTCAAGTCAATTATTTGCAGGTTACAATCAGATCGGGTCATTTACAAGTCGTGTCATGTTCGGGTTCAAGTCCGGTTTGGTTCAAGTCAAAAAATTGCAGGTTATAATCAGGTCGGATCATTCCGAGTGAGGTCATGTTCGGGTCTTAATCTGAGTATGGGGTTGATTTCAGGTCGGGTCATATCAGGTTCGAGTACATATTTTGGGTCGGTTTGTTAACAGTTCATGTAATGACATTCACGTTTAATCATTATCAATTACTTCATTTATTGTAAGAGAAATAATATCAGATAAATTTAAATTCGAGGTAATAAGTTCTAATAAGTTTAGATAAGATATACATAATAAGTTCATATTAATTCCAATAAGATAGGTTTAGTTTAGATTTTTAGAAGATAAGTTCAAACCCTGTTCTAATCTATTCACATTGATTCCACTCATTTTAGGGATAACAATTTCAGATAAGTTCATATTCGAGATGATATGTTTAGATAAAATACAATAAGTTCATATAAATTCGAATAAAATAGGTTTAGCTTAGATAAGTTAAAATACAATTTTTTTTTCTAAACTTATTTTATTTAAAATTATCTAAACTTGTTTATTTTTTATAAGTTCATATCCGAGTTCACGTTTTTTTTAATGGCATGTTTTTTAAAATATTTAAATGGCATTATTCAAAACATTTAAATAAGATTAAATGGGCAAATGAATAATAAAATTAAAAAATAAAAGACCGATAAAAGCCTTTTAACAGCTCTAGTTTGGGTCACCACTTTCTTGAGTCTAGACAAGTCAAGTCATGATCGGGTACAGGTAAATTATTTGGGCCAGATTATCATCGGGTTATTGTCATATACTCATGCTCGCATTCAGTCATTATCACGTTCAATTCAATCATTATCCGAAATTATTATCTTTTTTTAACTTTTTTTTATTTGAATTTTTTTTATATAAAATATAATACAAAACAAACAAGCCTAAGGTCAAATAGTATTTGTAAACCGTAATTGACTACATTAATGCACATGCACCTACAAAGTAGTAGTATTCGTAAACCATGATTGCTTAATTGAAATATAGAATGAACTTGCACCTAAAAAGTAGTAGTATTCGTAAATCGTAATTACTAAATTTAAATAAAGAATGCACATGCATCCAAAAAGTAGTGGTATTCATAAATATTTATAGGTTTTTTGAGACATATAAATTGTAATACATTTGATAATAGAGAATTTTATTGAAAATATTTGAATAAGCTTAAATAGGAAAATAACTCATAGAATTAGGGGGAAAAAAAGAAGATATGACGTAATCCTAGATTGCTAGTTAATTTCGGGTCAATAACAAGTCGGGTTGATTTTGGGTCGGGTTAGTGACAGATCGGGTTGAATTTCGGGTCGAGTTCGTAATAGGTGGGGTTAAATTCAATTCGGGTCGGCTTAGTAATAGGTTGGGTTAAATTCGGGTCGGCTTAGGAATAGGTCGGGTTGAATTCAGGTCGGGTTAAATTCGGGTTTTGACGGGATAAAACGGGTTTGGGTCAATTTCAGTTCAGGTCGGGTTCGGTTCAAGTCAATATTTTGCTGGTTATGTTCGGGTCGGGTCATCTCAAGGTCGGTTCATGTTCGGGTTCGGGTCTCAAATACTCGGGTTAACTCGGGTCTAGGGTTGGTTTCAGGTCGGGTCATCATTTTTTCGGGTTTAGACGGGTCGGTTAATAATCGGGTTCGGGTCGGTATTTCGGGTCGGGTCAGCTTTTGACAGCTCTAATGATGACATAGTAATAGTAATAGTATTAAGATACATTTAGGAAATATTTAGGAGGATATTTGAAGATATTTGATTTGGTGAATATTTATATTCACTAGGATAAATTTACTAAGAATTATCTTTAGTTTCCTTAGCTTAGCAGTACACGTTTTTGGTGTAGGCTTAGGAAACTTGTGCTTGTATTATATATATTCTGATGACTTGTGTTAATGAAAGCTAAGCCAAAGTTTACGGTTTTACAAATAGTAATATTCTTATTAGATAGGGTGGGAGGGGAAATGCAAAAGTACCCCATTCGATCTTATAATGTGTTATTACTTTTTTTTTATATATATATATATATATATATATATAAGTAAATAAATTCTTCTATCTCTATTCTAAATATGCCACTTAGCTTTTCTCACTCTCTTTCTAATTTCTACTTTTTATGTACATGTATTAATGATTTAATTTTCGTGCAAAATCAAGTGTGAAGAACATTTAATTACATATGAAAACTAGGTAGTAGGGCACATACATACAGGGGCGGACTTGGCCTTGTGCCTGGTGGGTCAAATGACTCACCAGGGCCCAAATTTCTAAGTCTTTTTTTTTTTTAAAAAAAAATAAAAATTATTAGTTTGTTAATTTTAGTCTTGTCAATTCTAAGCTTGTTAAATGTTAGTTAGTATTGTAATCTTGTCAATTTTCTATTTGGATGATCTTTGTAAATAATTTTTTTTGGGAATTTTGGTAAAAAAAATTTTTTTTACATATTTGGTTATCGATTGTGAGTTTGTGACTCACCGGTCAGAAATTCCTGGGTCCGCCACTGCATACATATCCCATTATTTTAATGAAATAACAAATTTAGAAAATTCATCATCAAAATTACTGAACAAATAGAATTTACAAACAAAAGACAAGTATAAATTGTATAATGGCAACTAACCAACAACAAATTAAAGAGAATTGAACATTTAAATGCACTTCATGTGAAGAGCTCAGTCAGCCTCCTATTTCTACTTTACACCTATGTATAATCCAACACTATACACTTTTAACAAATGGCAAACTAACCTTACTGATAGAAACTAATTTCTTCCAAACTTATTAACATGTGAATGACATTTTTTCCACCTATTTTTTCTTCTAAATTTCTAAAATTAGAGTCTTAACTTTTTTATCATGATTTCTAAAAACCAATATTTTTTAGTAGTATTTTTACAAAGAAATACAACTTCTAAAAAACCAAATATTTAAAGCTCTTTGAAGTTTGAATGGTGGGGTATCAAAAGCACTTAGTTAATGAGAAGAGGAGATGCTATGTGTGTATATACTGGGGTTCACAATCTTCTTGTCCAGTAACTATCCTTCACCTTTAAATCAACATCAATAATTGACCATTAATTTGGTATTGGAATTTGTATGCTAAAGATTTTCTTTTTTCATTTAATTCCTTTTTTCCATAATTTTTACCTTTTAATTTTCAACCTAAAATCCTAAATTACCTTCCTCCACAAACAATCACGTCAAGATTTACTTTACTATAACCTTGTCGTATTTTTTTTACTTTTAAGAATATTTTTTTTCTGTTACAGTTAACATTGTTGATGTGGTGTTACCTAAACTGAATCAACAATCACAATATAAATTGTTACACTTCCACACATAAGAAATACCAGAGGGTACATGATAGATTATTCTTGTTAGTGGTGTTACTACAACACCCAAAAAAGATGTCAAAATAATAAATAAAACACATTTTTGTAAACCTAGAACTTTCCCATGAGAAGGTGCAAAAATGGGATTGGCCTAATCTCTCCCTGCCAAATACTAGCTGTTGTTTGTGTCAACCACTAGTGGAGGGCCACTTCATTAATATTATTTAATTTCCCTTTTCTTTTATTTCCTCATTACAACATAAATTACGTTGAAAACTTTGCCTATATAAGAGAAACTTCACAAGCTATCTTTATTGTGAGTACAAACATATTCAAGCAATCATCTAATATTGTCTCATACAAATAATATTAGCTTCCATCTTCAACTTCAACTCCTTTTTGGCTGCTTCTTCTAAGGCTTCTAAAAATGGTTAGCATTTTTGTCATACTTATTACAAGTATTGTTTTGCAATTGTTCCAAGTATATTTCATCAATTTTGTGAAACTCTCCTAGGGTATTTACATTAATTTCATTAATAATCGCGTTACCATATTTGTTTGTTCATGGCTCAGGATGGAAAGATGAGTTGGGCTGTTGCTGATGCCCTTGACTATAAGGGTGCCCCTGCAGACCGCTCGAAAACCGGTGGCTGGGTGCCTGCTGCTCTTATTCTAGGTATGATTTACCCTTCTTTTAGCCTAGTGTTTATGCGTTTATGACTAATTAGTTGCATTAAGCATCATGTAGTAGGTTATTCATGCAAAATAAAAGTTCATTAGAATATTCAGGATAACAAAAATGAAGGGCTAACAATGTTGATGCAAAGTGTTGCACTTGTAAACCTTAAAAATATTGTTCAAAATATTCTCATATCCACAAACTTTTTATTCCACCTGGCCCACTCCATTCGAGCATTTTGATCATCTTTAAACATCAATAGATTATATACTAGGTCCGAGATTCTCTCTAATAATTAGACGGTCTGAGGGGTTTTGAGAAAGTTGCACGGTAACTTATGAGGATCCACTTTCATTACACTGATACTAATGGTGTCTCTAATTATGTTGCAATGATAAAATCAGGCATCGAAATGTGTGAAAGGCTCTCGACGATGGGGATAGCAGTGAACCTTGTGACATACCTTGTTGGAACTATGCACTTACCTAGTTCAACCTCGGCGAATGTTGTCACTGATTTCATGGGAACTTCCTTCCTCCTCTGCTTACTCGGCGGCTTTTTGGCTGATTCCTTCCTAGGAAGATTCAAGACTGTTGCTATTTTTGCAGTGGTACAAGTATTGGTAAGTACTAATAAAGTAACACGCCTTACAATAATTTTATGAATGCATGACAAAATTATAATTTTAACGACTTCTAACCTGTATCCTATACATGATTCAGGGGACAGCAATGCTAGCAATCTCAACAAAACTACCCGAGCTACGGCCACCACCATGTGACTCAAACGAACCATGCCAAAAAGCAACAGAATTCCAAATGGGAATTTTATACTTAGCCTTGTACTTGATCGCCCTAGGCACGGGTGGTCTAAAATCGAGTGTGTCCGGTTTTGGAAGTGATCAATTTGATGAGAAGGACGAGAAGGAGAAGGCTCAAATGACCGCCTTTTTTAGTAGATTTTTCTTCTTCATAAGCCTAGGGACTCTAATGGCCGTGACCGTGCTCGTGTGGATACAAGATGAAGTAGGGAGAAGCTGGGCATATGGAATTTGCTCTGTTTCAATGGGTGTTGCAATAGTTATCTTTTTGGCTGGTGTTAAAAGATATAGGTACAAAAAGTGTATGGGAAGCCCTATTGTTCATATTTTCCAAGTTATTTCAGCTGCTGTTAAAAAGGCTAAGTTGCAATTGCCTTATGATGTGAATTACTTGTATGAGGATGCTCCTGAAGGTCAAAGGGTTCCACACACTCAGCAATTTGGGTAAGTTTCTATATTCAAACAAAATTTAGTCATAATTTATCTACTTTATGTAGGTAATATTAGGTCCAAAAAAGATGTAACAATTTTTGCTTTAAAGATATTCCTAACTTTCTTTAAGGTCAACTTCTAAAATCCGAGCTTTATTTCTTTGTTGTCTTGATGGAAAAAAATACACAGATAGTGGTGCAGTAATGATAAAACACTCTTACTAATCGACCTTTATCGTAACTAAGTAGAATGAAAGTTTGAATAAAGTATTACAGATGAGACTTTTTACTTAAAATATTCGAGGATTAACTAGGTTTCATAGTGGAGTATATCCATTAAAAAAAAGTTGACAACACTTTTCATTAGAATTATTTTAAAGTGGTTTTATGCTAATAACTTCCTTTTTCTTAAATAATTGAAGTTCAATTCAGGATTATCCTATCTACTGGTACATGTACACAACATTTTATTTAACTAGAATAATATATAGTTAACATAAATATTATTATATGTAAGTTACCAAGTAAAATGAAACAAAGTCACCCTTTTTAAATTTAACTTTTGTGTCTTCCTTAAGGTAAAAATTAAATGTATAACGTTTTCATCATGCTTATACATAGGTGCTTGGACAAGGCAGCAATAGTAGCCGAGGGGGACTTTGAGAACATTCCCGGTGGTTCGGCCCCCATGCCCCCCAACCCATGGAAGCTATGCTCGGTGACCAAAGTCGAAGAAGTAAAGATGATGGCACGGTTGCTACCCGTGTGGGCAACAACCATCATATTTTGGACAACATACGCACAAATGATCACATTCTCGGTCGAGCAAGCCTTCACCATGGAAAGATCCCTAGGGAGCTTCAAAATCCCAGCAGGCTCACTCACTGTCTTCTTTGTAGCAGCCATTCTACTCAGTTTAGCAGTATATGACCGTGTCATTGTGCCATTTTGGAAAAAATGGAAAGGCAAAGCAGGTACTTTACATTATATTGCACCATATACTTCTTCCTTCGATATTTAATAATTACAACATATGAAGTTTTACACTTGCTAAATCACAATTTATATCAATGTTGACCAGTATTCATTGAAACGAATTCAACAAAATCTCACTTGATTGAACATATGTTTTTTTTCACCTATAACTCACAAAAGATGTTCAAAATTTGATTAGTATCATGTTTTGGGTTGAATTTTGATATTAATTACTTGCATGTTTTTACCATGATCTAATTATACGTTATGTTGGTACGTGGTCCAAAAAGAGGGTACCACACCTAATGTTTTTATGTGGCCTTGCTAGGATGTAAAGGAAGATAGCGTATAGTACTTTGGGACAACCCCCTTTAATTTTATACCAGTACTTTTTTTATTTTGAAGGGTTGGTACCATCTTGATTCAGTATCTTGTGACAAGACACTAAGGTCTCTAACCATGATCTCAAGTCTGAAATCATAATCATATTCCGTGTTTTGTACCCTAAATTAACCTATATGGCTAGTCAACCAAAAAAATTTTGATCAGTAAAAATAAGCTCATCATCTAGTTGTTGCATATACCAATTTTGATTAGTAGGTATGAGCTTTAATCATCGAAATTGATTTTAATCGGCAAACAATTTAATAATCTAATAAAGAGAACAAATTCATAAAGTTTGTTTAGTATGAGGTTGTATGTTACACTCCTTTTAAAAAGTATAATATTAATTGAAAATGACAAGAAAAAAGTATTAAATATATGATACTAGAATCTAAAGACAAGATACTAGCTTATTAAAATGCTTAATATAATGAAAAAGGCAGCATTGCATTATCATAAAACAATATGTATCTACAGTAGATCCCAATATAATGTTCATGTCTCTATATCTCACAATAGATCACATGCATCTCACTATCTTAGGTTATCTTTAAATATCATGAGATTCAAGGTACCAAAAATTAGTTGGCTAATACATGCAATTATCACACAAATAATTCTTCCATAATTGATCCAATGAATTTTCCTTCACACCGAATCTTTAAGGAAAATAAAAGACCTATAATTAAAGAATTAGTCCAAAATATTATTAAAGTATTGAAAAGTTATTGTTTAGCCGACAAAGAAAAAATGCGACTTTTTAGAGAATTTTATGTCTTACTGAGTAGGGGATCGAAATTTGTTATCAAGTTTGTCGATAAATAATAGATGGAGTATTATTCACTATATTCAACCAAACGAACACTTATTACAATAATTTTATTTACTCGAAGTTTCGAATGAAAATATTGCACGTAAGCAACGTTACTGCAACATGAACACTAACTATATTCATATGATTTTGTATGTATAGGTTTCAGCAGTTTGCAAAGAATAACAATAGGGCTAGTCCTCTCAACACTAGGAATGGCAGCCGCGGCATTGGCAGAAAGAAAGAGATTATCAGTAGCTATAGCAGTAGGAAGAGATGCACAATCACTTCCTATAAGTGTTTACTTCTTAATCCCACAATTCTTCCTAGTTGGTGCAGGGGAAGCCTTCATCTACACCGGACAACTCGATTTCTTCATCACTCAAGCACCTAAAAGCATGAAAACTATGAGCACTGGCTTGTTCCTTACCACTCTTTCCCTCGGGTTCTTCCTTAGCAGCTTCCTAGTATCGGTCATTAAGGGTGTTACCACTACGCGCACTAGTGAAGGATGGCTAGCCGATGACATCAACTATGGAAGGCTTGATTACTTCTATTGGTTGTTGACTCTCCTAAGTTTGGTTAACTTTGGTGCATTTATGATTTGTGCTATATGGTTTAAGCCTCCATCTAAAAAGAATAACTCGATTAGGGTATCGAATGCTAATGGATCATATGGTTCTGAGGAAAGGTGCTAGGAGAACAAGGAAAACAAATATGCAAGTTTAATTTCAGGGGAATTTGCTGAAAATTTGCATTGGGTGTATTTTTATGTGATACTTTGGAGTTAAATTTTTTGAAAGCTAATGCTTTACCTCCAAATTTAATTATCCTTTATGTATAGTTTAATGTAAAATTATTGAATCAAATGGTGTGTTTTAAGCTTGGTTCTTAACTTTCTAAATCATACTTGTCAATTGTGGCTTTTTTCTTCCACTAATACAAAGGTACCTATCCATTTCAATCATTCTTTCTTTTTTTTTTTTTACCTAAAGGTGAGTTAATATGGACCTCACACTAGCACTATGTATTCATAGGCCCATGAATGGTGAACCATATGTTATGTGAAGTACTTTATCTGTTTCTTTTTTACTGCTTCATTTGTTATAAATGGATGTCCCTTATTAATTGCCCCATTCCATTTTGGGCCATGATCCCCATCTTCTTAACCTCTATTTAATTTTTATAACCCAGTCATGTCACGGTATTATTTCTCCTAAGAGCTCCCTCCAACCCACTAATTACTCTCTCTCCTCTATCACTTCACTTTTTCTCTCTCTTCTGGTCAATGTTTTCTCTCTCCTGATTCAAAATAATTTCACTCTCATCTCCCCCAACTACCTCTATTTTCTCACCACCCTTATAAAAATAAAAACCCTATTTTTTTTTAACTCATTTGGTATTTTCTCTCTCCTCCGTTGATGAACCCTAAATTCGGTTCTACAATTCCAGAATTTTATTTTTTATTTTTCTGTAGAAATCTCTTTCTTAAGATCTATCATTGTGTAATTCTCCTTCGTAGTGTGGGTATTTGCATGTTTTTTATAGTTTATTCCCATATCTGATTACCATGAATTTTAATTTCAATAATTTTCAAAAAAAAAATTGACCCACAAATCTATGGTAAGGGTGGGTTTGATTCAGAGCTAAGAGGGATTATGAATTTTTGAAGGATAAACTTCAATTTTATCATCATAACCTATCCCCAATTAACTCCGATGATGATGAAGAGGAGTTCATCCCCAACACCCCACCCCCCCCCCCCGATCGTTGTGTGTATGACACCTCCTCTTGCCCCACTTCAGGCGCCTGACACACCGGAGATGGCGTGCATGAGTTATACCCAAGCACCAGCTGAAGGAGGCAACAGCTCTAGGAGGATTGGTGTGAGGCGATCTAGGTACTAAATTTAAAAAGTGTTGAAATTTTAAAATTTTCAGAAAATTGGGTGACCTTGTATGGTTGTAAAGTTGGTGGGGAATGAGTTTGCTTTATTGTCAACCTCTCCCCAGGTGAAGAGTTAATCTAATTTTAAGTACTTCCCTCTCTCCCCAATTCATTTAATTAAACCCACTAATATTGACTGTGGACCACACTTCCTTTTCTTCCCTTACCAATTCTTAATAAAGCAGATTTGTGGGATGGGGCAATAAAAAAGGGGACAAAGGGAGTAGATGATAAGGGCGGTCTTGAAGGTTAAAAGTTAAAACACTTCGATACAGACTGATAAAAAAATGACTCGATCATATAATTGACGTTTTTTTGTTGCATTACTAAGTACTTTGTAAAAAGTTATCCAAGTATTTCGACATACTTTTAAATAGCTACGTAATCATGTTAAATAGATGAATCTGTCTTTTTTATAAACTAAAAGTACTTGAAGAAGTTCTTTTCGCCAAACCAAAGGAAAAAATAAAAATAAAACAAAGAACCGAAAGTTGTGAAACAAACCCTAAAACGTCCTCCCCTTGAACACGTAATTGTTTAGCTTATAATTGAATTGGTCCACCTTTAATCCATAACAATAAGGTGAATGATCCAATTTACCTAACATTCCAACCTCTTAGGCGTCCATGTCCCCGGTTCAACTTTTGGCAGGTCGGATTTTGAAAGTGAGGGAAAAGAATAAGGAAGTCTCTACCCCGATATGCCTCCAGGTGGGCTTGATCCCAAGCAATATAAGTTGCAATTAATTGCAATTCATTTTTTTTTTTCTTCAGACAGGTACATGTGGCTCTTGGCCTGACCCATCTTTTTCTCAAGCATTAAAATCAGCTGTAGCAAATAATCAAGAAATGTGCTGAGTAAACTACTATAATGTACACACTAGGCCATTAAGAGGAATTCGAAATCAGGATTACAATAATGTAGCTCAAGTGTTTCCTTAATCAGTAGATCAATGCTTGTAATTTAATTAGCAGTTCAAATACAATTAAATCTGTCATTTTAATTAATTTCTATCATATAAGCTAGTGCAGGTTTCCTTGATTTGAAACAATTTATGAAAGAGGGCATGAACACTTATAAAATATGATACACAATGATTATTTGATACAATTTGATATGATATATGTTAGATTTGGATTAGATAGATAGATAGATATAGTAGATGTTGTATCGTTTTCAATCTAATATCTCCGAAGTAGAAAGATAAAAATCAACAATTCATCAAGAATCGCATTCATTCATATGTTCATATGCTACTATACAAGTATATATATAAGCTTTGGTGAATAATTTGTCGACAACTTCAATTCACACATAAAATCACTAAAGAACTCTTGAGTAAAAAAACAGTACTCGTACATTATTACAAGATTCTATTAGGTCAATGAATGGATACCATGATATCTCCGAAGTAGAAAGATAAAAATCCACAATTCATCGAGAATCGCATTCATTCGTATGTTCATATGCTACTATACAAGTATATATATAAGCTTTGGTGAATAATTTGTCGACGACTTCAATTCACACATAAAATCACTAAAGAACTCTCGAGTAAAAAAAGAGTACTCGTACATTATTACAAGATTCTATTAGGTCAATGAATGGATACCATGATATCCACAATAGCAAATAAAATCACGTGGACTTTATTCATTGTAAAACTCTATTATAATTGATTCTTCATCAAAGTCCAACATTATTGGCTCCATAAAATCAAAAGAATATCTTATCACATTTTATTCGACCAATCCAAACAAAGTATCTATCAATTATACAAAACAATAAAAAATGACACATCAAAATTATGGAAGTTGGAAATTAAAGGGACTAGCACATTATTGAAATATTTCTGCAAATATAATTAATATTGTAGGACGTACACCATGATTTTTAAGGTGGGTGTGACTTGTGAGGCTAATTTTGAAGGAAATTCAGTCATTTTAGGCCTAACATTTCCGGCGGCTTTCAAGGTGTGGTAGTGCATATATAAAGGGCTCCATCTATATTTGGCAATGAGCTATTATTAGTTTTTTTCATCGAGTAGGATTGATCAATAGTTTGAGCTTTTTAATTCCGTTATAATTTAGTTGACACATTTTTAGGTTTGGGTTTGCCAATTTACTTACCTAATTTTTAATAAGAAAAAATAAATTGTATTTTTTTCTTGAGTATTGTATCATGCTGAACATACACTCTTTTTTTCACTTTACTTTCATTTACATAAATTCTTGTATAAATGGTTATGAGATTTGAGATATGTATATTGGAACAGAGGCAATATCAACTATGATATTAGAGTTGAACCTAAAGCTAATTATTAGGCCTTTAAAAGATCCAAATATCTTCATAAATCACCAAAATTTATTGTATTCAAGTAATCACGTAAACTACAAATATTTTTAAGTCTTTTGTGTTTTTGGGATGTTGTTTTCTTGCGAATGATTAATGATAACGTGAACATCACCTTGTCTTTCACATTGACACACACAAACGAACAGTGAATTCATATGTGGTTGATATTATTCATGTCATGATCTTTGGATCTACTAGTTATGATAACTTAGTGATACAATCCAATTTTATATATTAAGCAATTAACATCAAATAAGTTACACCAAATAAGTACATGGAAATTTGTCATAACAAAAAGCATCATTCAAGCGCAATCTAATAAGAATTGGGAATTTATGTTTAGTGTCACAAATTCGATGAATGAATACTCCAATGACTAATTAGGAGTTTCTATCATTTCAATACATAATGCAAAACAACTCTAATCATATGTCCTAACAAAATTCTGTACTCATCCATCATTATATCATTTTACACGTGAAAGACTCAATATGTAAAACCACGAGTTTTTTTAATTGCACATCCTTTTCACCAAGTTTCGCAAACAGGCTCCCCATACTCATACTCTTTACTAATGCAAGAAACATTTACTAGAGCACAAATCATGCGTGCCCGTATCTACAAATGGCATAATAGAGCCAAGTTTCTTCACGACATATTCACACAGAAAATGCAGTCTAAAATTGAAAATAAGAAATAAATAAATAAATAAAATACTGTAGAAATTTAGCAATGATAACGAGGGTCACGTGACAGCTCATAAAGTCACGCCCCACCTCCCAACTATTGGGAGTTAACAATAATTGAGCAATACCGAACTAATGGTCTCAGTGGGCATTAGCTTTATGCCCAATTTGCAACTTTTGGGCTTGGAATATATTGGGCTATCATGATGCTCCGAGCTCAACTTAGGCCCAACAAGAACAGGCCCTCTTTGCCCATTAATTAAGTCTTTTTTTTTTTTTTCTTTTTTGAGGAAACCATTAATTAAGTCATTATATAATAAGACTTTTAGGTTTGGAAAAGGAATAATAATAATAATAGGGAATTTAATATTAGGTGAAGGCTGATTGGTGGATCTCTAACCTACTCACTCGGACAGTGTTAGGTAGTTTATGACATGGAAGAACATATTATAACATTTTGGGGAAAAAAAAAAAAACAATGGTATAGGTAGATAAATAGAAGACTCTTAATTCCAATCTCAATAATCCAGTCTAGATGATGGATTTACACTAACCCCAATGAGATCGCCATCCATGATAAACTCGTCATATCTTCAACATCTGAGTTAATCGGTCCAAAAATGTCTTGTATTCAAATGAGCTCTCATATATTGTTATATCGTCTATCTCATTACTTACTTTATAAACAAATGACAAATTCACTTGAGGGTATTAGACATAAATTTAGAAAATTCAACATAAAAAGAAAATCGAAAAACGTACTAGTACCATATAATGAATGGTTAAAATGGAATAAGTTGAGACGTGCAACCTATCTATTATAAACGTCATTATACGTTTTATCTTGTCACGAAGATAAATTCTTTAAATGTGCTACCACCCACTTATGAAAGAATAACTCCCACTTCAGAATCCAATAGTTGGGGACTTATAGTCTTTAAGAGACTCTAATGTCATTACTCATTTGTCAGTTTAAGGAGTGGAAAGTGAAGTAACTAAGCAACAATCAAGTCAACTTACACCAAACATAAAAATCAATCGAGAGTTAGCAATAACTCCACTTCTCCATTATGATTATGACATCTTTAAAAATGCCAAAGAAACCAACTCATTTTGACTGCGATTATTCCTAAGGCTAAAAAAATATCACGGGTATATCTCAGACTTCCAAGAACTTGGTCTTTTACTTAGTACTAGTCTTCACTTCTATAGGAGAACATTCAAATTTCGTTAAACTTCTTGGATTATCACTATCAAGAGTATCAACCTTGCCCAATTTTCCAGTAAATAGCTCGAGTTCGAGCACGACTGATGTTTAAACAAATTTAAAATCACATTTAGTAGATGAGGTTGAACATTTATGGGTAATGCTCAATTAGATATGATCATGAACTCGTTAATTACATTCACAAGCGACGTGTCTATTTTATTTTATATATTTATATACTAGTAAAAAACATTGTATAAAATTCGTATAGATGTTTAGTTTAAAATGTTTGATACATTGTTAATAAGTTGTACCAACTTGACATATTGTATTATTTTGGACTAAATGAGCTTAAACAAATTAATTTCCAAAGCCACAAAAGGTAAGAAAAACTAATTTTAATAACTTAGGCTCAATCACTTAACAAGTCAAGTAGTCAACCTTGGACTATTGTTTCTAAATAAATTATCTTAAACAGATTATGTGAGTTCCAACTTAAGGCTTGTGCTCAAACTCGATTTCTATCGATCCGAATGAGCTTGAAGCCTTGAACATGAACAAGCCGTAATACTTATTAGGTCAACTCGACTCGGCTTATTACACCCACACATGTAACCGATCCTAAGTTCACAACAACCCTAACACTTCACAGTAAATGAGAATGGTTGGGAATCAATCCTAATTAATTTTGCTACCAAAATAAGAATGAGACCTTAAATCACCTAAACTCATAAAGAAATATAGTGATCCTAGCATTAGTTCTTTAATGACTTTTAGAAAGCATATTACTGAAACTCTACTCGTTCATACCTAACTCAGCATTTTATAGGCAGAGAATCACTCAAAAATCACTTAACAATTTTAGCATAGTAGCACTAACTAAATTAAGAAAAACTTGTAAATTATAACAAAGCGTCAAACACTCAACCATCTTTCAATGATTTCTATAGTAAAATCGATTATTTCTTAACAACAAATCATAACAAGATTGAGAAAAGGTAATAAGAAAGAGATAGATTAAAAAGGCAATAACTGCGGCAAAAAATTATGAATGTCATGAGAAGTGTGATTGAGAATGCAAGGCATGCGGTCTAACAAGCAAAGCATGTGAAGACAGCGTCATTATGAGCAAATTCTGCGCTTTTGGTTCAAAATGAAGTGTCGAGTGTCCATGATCCAACACGAGTATAGTGGAGTTAAAACGAAAATTCCGAGCAACATGGTTCTAAGCTACTGTCTACAGCTGGTTTAGATAAGACAGTCACTACCTTCTCATGGAAGAGAGGATTCAAAAACAAAGGACAAATCCAAGCTTACCAAACACATTCCACATGCATCTTGCCAAAATCATAAACCGATTCAAAGATATTATATAAGTGGAAATGAGGCGATTGCGCCTAATACAGCTAAGCTGCCAATGAAATGCACGCAGAAGAACCAACATAGAGGAGATGAAGAAACAACAATTCAATTGATAGGAGTAATTTACTATAGATAGATCTGAATAGAATAGATATAATTTAAACTCCCTCCAACAATAATAAGAGTACTGAAACATAAACAAAAGTAACAAAAAGATGAAAATGGCGAAAGGAAGCTCGTACAATGGCTCTCTAGCAACTAAGAACAACCTCGAAACTGAGCCTCGAGCCTCCTACATTACCATTCCATAAAAATGTAAATGAGATAATAAGTAAACCTAGTAAGAGCTAACACGACATAGAATGACTACTAACCAATGACAATATTCATAAACTAAGACTACATACGCGATTCCAATCAAGAACTCGCATTATCCGGATTATACTAATACCTAAAACCCTCCTCATTGAATCCTCACTAAACCCTTGAAGCTCAAACTCCTCAAATCCACTACGATTAATGGCACCCGCATTGCAAAACATAAGAATCATTATCATCATCATAAACGAAACGAGCATTGCATTGCATAACCAAGGATTGGATTGGATTTGAAGAATCAATCAATCAGATTGATTGTCATTCCTCCTAGCAATTCCATCACCATCCCTTTCCTCAAGCAACCTACCCTGCTCATCATCAGCCTGAACTGTCTTCTTCTGCGCGTCTTTCGCCTTCAATGCCTGCAACTTAGAGTGATTGTAGTACCCAACACCCACAAATGCCAACCCATACCCAAACAAATTGATAGGAGTAACAGTATCCTTAATCACAGACCACGAAAACGCAATCAACAACCAATCTTTAACAACCCCAGCAACATTCATAGTCAAAGCCGATGTCTTCCCAACAAGCAAGAACACAGCAAGATTCAAAGCAAAAGCACAAACAGAATTCGTCCCAAATATAAACCAATCCAGATGAAAACTCGACGAATCCCTTAGAATTGGGTACTCTACAATCATCCAAGGAATTGATAGAAACACCAAACAACAAGGAGCAACATAATAAAGCGATGTAATCGGATTAAAACTAATACCCTTTGAAGTTAACAAGATCTGAATCATTACCAATCTAGTAGCTTCAAATGCAACTGCCCCCAATTGTAGGGTTACACCCCAAGCATCAAATTTCGCCTCACCATAAGCAGCAATTGCAACCCCAAATGAAATCGACATCATATTCGCCATCGTTTCGCCTCGAAAGCTCTCCTTCTTAAACATGACTCCAATTGAATACACAGCAACAGGCATCAAAGCCTTCAACATTTGAATGAATGAAACACTCAAATAGATGTAAGCCGAATTCGAAAGCCACAATGAAAATGCATATAGAGCACCAATTGGAACAACAGATGAGAGATAAACTTCTCGAGACATCGAAACAGGCTCAACTAATTTCAACACTTTAACAAGAACAAAAGCAAGAGATGAACAAAACGTCATGTGAATCATGGTAAGAGAAATTGGGAATGGCCAATTATACATCTTTCGATCTAAGATGTATTTGTTGTAAACAATTACAGTGAAACTCAAGAAGATCCAAATTGCTACATAGGTGTAAGATAATACTATCTTCTTAATCACACCATTACTCAAAGATCCGTTTCCACTAGACATGATTGGGATTTTTTCTGGGTTTGATTGAAATTCCCCTGTTTTTTCTGGGTTTTCTGGGTTAAAATGATTGAATTTTTGGGAAAAAGAGATGATTTTGAGGAATACCCAGATTACAATTTGGGGATCTGAAGGGAAGAGAATGTGATGTGAGGATGAAATCTGAGGGATGAAGTAGAGGGAGGAGAGAGAAAATGGAGGAGAGCGTTACAATGGGGGAGAGAGTTTATTGGGCTTTTTTTGGGCCTTTTTTAGTGAGATGAAAAAAAATTTAAAAATAAACAAAAAAATTTTAAACTCAGCTTTCTTTAAATTGAATTTTTTATTGTACTTTGTCTTTTTTTGTTATAATTTGACATTGAGATTGGAATTTTTTTGTAGAAATAAAAATAAAAATAAATGGTGGGTAATTTTTTAATTTAATTTTGGAGAGGGTTGACTGAAAAAGGGTGAGTAACGTGACCGATGGGCTGCGTTTAATAAGAGAAATAAATTTTATAGGGGTTAGAAATTTTTATTGAACAAAGGAAAGATGTGATGGAGCTTCTTGATTGTAGCTTTAATTCTTTATGGGACACTCAAAGTTGCAACTTTGAGAACCAATGGTGATTATGTCTATGTCCCTCCCCCAAGCTCCCAACAACAGTAATGGATGTTTATTGTAGTAAAAACAAGTTAAGGGTTCAGTTGTAATAAATTGAAGTAGGTGTTATTGAGAAAACAATTATGGTATATACACCTTTGTACATATAAGAATAATTTTATAAATTTATGACAAAACTATAGTATGTGTCGATTGATATTATTTTTGTTATTACAAACAGTCAATTATTTTTGTTATCATGGTTGTAATTAGAAAGATATAATGATCATATTTCAATTAACCCTAATTCAATTTGATGGTAGCATATGATACCAAAATAACTTCCTAATAACCTAACGTTCCTCTTTTTATTGATTTTTAAGTTATTTTGATAAATTTGTCTATTCAATATCTTTTATCTCTTAGTTGAAGTGTAAAAATATGTGTTACGATGATGAATAGATGAAGGGAGAAAAATCTAACCCTTACTCCTGCTCTCTTAACACCCCCGACCCCACCCCACCCTACCCTACCCTTCCCTGTTGTTAATGTCTAAATAAGAACAAAGAAATTTTTAGCCTACAATAACTTGAGTCATCACTAACTCTAATATTCTTCTTTGACATTAAGTTGTAGTTAGACAATACTCATTTTAATAGCTAAGATTAAGAAGTAACAAGGAAGTCTATTAATACTAGCAAAACATAAATTCTAAAGTTTGCATTTGTTGGTGGTATTAATGAAGAGTGTTTTGCTAGTAGGATGGTACTAATTAAGCGTGACTTAGTATCAAAATGGCATTATTAAATGCTAATTAAAGGCCTTCTATTTATCTTAAAAAATACTCCGTATTATAATAATAATTTTTTTTTTTTTAAAAAAAAAAAAAAAAAAAAAAAAACTCCTGCTTTCCTACGTAGTACTGTACAAAAGTATAAAGTATAAAGCAATAATACATACGTCCTACGAAATAAATGGTGGGTCAAACGCCATTTTGCGATTTGCTGTGCACACGTGTCATACGAAGACACTTGTCAAAAAAAATGAAAAGGAAATCAGGAAAAATGAATAATATATGGTCCTTAGATTTTTTTTGGTTCTTGATTTTGCCATGAACATAATGATGTATGTCAATGTAATCGTACTATTCGATTAAACTATACGAGTTTGACGTGAAATTGTAGAAAAATATAACATGGAAAATTAATTAATGAGATAAAATTCCATCAATCTTGCCGACTCTGTCGGTGAAGAAATTTCAAAGTCATTTGGTCTATTTTGAGAATATTGTAAGCTAACCACCAAGATTTATTTGCTTTATAATTCACCTATTTTCTATTCTTTTGGACTGGATCTCATTTCTCTTCACTATTTAGTACTAGGGAAGAACTTTTTATAGCTCTTAAAAGTATTTTATATTTTCGAAGAAGAATAATTACTTTTTTAGATTTGTTAAGCATCTACTCTCTCGTTTTAAAAATAGTATTCACGTATATGGAGAGTTATTTATGATAACTCTAAACAATACGAAGTATCACATTTTCTATGGTATCGTTATGTGATGATTTATGATTGAATTTTCCAAGTTACATTTCAGAATAGTTTAGTAATATGAAGTAAATTGTATACACTACTCATGATAAGTAGAATAATGGGTAATTTAGTAGTATTAACAAGTAGAACAATTTGATTAATAGGCCCAATTTGATTCCCCCTTATTTCAAGAAATTGTTCATGGAAAATAAATTTTTATAACTTACAATTCATTTGATAGGTGATAATGTGAGAAAAGATACCTTAACGTTAATGTTTCAATATTTTGCATATTAATTAGAAGGGCTTGTAATACCATTCTTCAGTTAATTGCTAGGTGTGAGACGAATGATATTTCTACTTTGGCGGAGCTCGACTTGTCAATATGGAACGTGCTAATTTTTTCTGAAAAAAAAAAGGTTAATTTACTTCAACTTACAACAGAAACAAGTATTGATAAGTTCTGAAAAATAAGTTCAAATGAGTTATAATCAACACTACAAATGATTTTTTTTTTTTAGATGAAACTCTACAATTGATAAGTTCAAATAATTTGATAAGGTTAATTTGATAAGTGGTCAAGTTTGCATCTCAGATCAAACCCCACTAAAGACACTTGGGGTGGAGATTCCCTTACTCTTCCCCGCACTTCCAAAGTGTCTAGCCCACTAATCCGAGTCGGGAAGACCTGTGACAGATTCTAGCCCGGTAGGGCCCTTTCTCCTTACCAACCAAAAAAAAAAACACTTAAATAAAATCAATAACTATATACTAAAAGACACACCAACAATGACACGTGTCAATTTCTGGTGTGTTCTTAGTATATTTTTTTAATAATTAATTACTAAATTTTATTTAAGGAAGTTATTTTTAAAAAAAAAAAATTGTTTTTGTCAACTATATAAATGAGTAATAACATTTACCATTTTTTTGTTGATACTCAATTAATTACGGAATAATAAGGAAATATATAATCTTTTTGAAGAAGATGTATTTTTGGTGGAATATTTTTTAAGAATATGATCTTGATCAAATATTTCATGTTACTTCAATTTTGTTCAAGATATTAAACAGTTTTTATATATTATGCTATAAATAAATTAATTTGTCAAAAGTAATTAAAATAACGCACCGTGCATGGCACGAGACCTAACCTAGTACACTTTTAATTCGAAGTGGATAAACTCAAGTTCAATTCGCTTGAAGAGATGGGATAGTTAAAATTGGGCTCCATGGAAAACAATTTCAATATGGACCTAGCTTAAGGTTGTTTACTTGTTTTGGTGGACTGTGGCCCAATCCCAACTAACTACAATGCCCAAGTTTGAACATTTTTTCCCTCTTAATTAAATCATCTCAAGATTTTTAACAATCTACATCAATACACCAAGACATTTACCAAGATTTTGTATCAACATTCAATTGCTACTACCTTCATCCAACATAAAGACATCTTCCCAATAATTTCGAGAATCCGAGATATTAAAGTTAAGTCCAAATATTACTAATCTACAAAGACATTATCTATATAAATCTTTGTATTTGAGTACAGCATACCATATGTATGAAGCAAATTCATCATTCAATCTTGCAGTAAGTTCTATCACCCAATAGCTAATGAAAAATTACAAGTAGGGAAAACTAACCAACCAATATATTAAACTCACCATTATTCCTAGCTATAGGCTGCTTATACGAGGGCGGAGTTGGTAAATGAGTGATGAAACAATGTATACAAATCAAGTATATTGAAGAATATGAAATCATGTAATTTAGGTGTGCAAGAGAGTGTGTGCACCCTAAGACCATGCTCCGTGCTGAGTGAAACCTTCACATGCACTAGATAGGTAAGGGACTATTGGGAGTTGAAGCATACTTCATAGTTCATGTCATATGAATGAAACAGAGGTTTGGAGAAAGACTATACCATTGATCGAATATACAAAAACCAATATCCATGTAACCCATCTATATGTTGCAACTAATTTCACATCTCAAAAAGTAAACTGACCTGAAAGATGAAGCAGGGACAGTAAACTAGCCAGTATAAATATATATCTATCAGTTCTTATTTTCTGTTGATGCTCAGCATTCATTTGAACCAAGAAAAAGCCGTGTGAAGTGGGAGATTCAGAGACTGAATCATAATGGAATTGAGGTGCATTGCCTAGGATAAAAAATTTCCTTTGATAATAGTTTTTTAATGAGGCGTTTGAGCCTATCAGCACCAGGACCTGGCCTAAGTTCAATCGTGCCATTTGCCACTGAGTAAGACAGAGAACCATCTGTACTGTTTTCATTTTCTCTGACCAACCATTTTCCGGGCACAAACCCACTGTCATCACTTCCCAAAAGCTCAGCGTCGATCTTATCCATCACAGCTTCTTTCCTACCAAATTTCCTGGCAAAGGGGGCATTGCTTTCCACCATTTTCTCATAGTCATCAACTGTCAGAAAATGTGGATGTTGCTTAGGAGGATTATCCCATGATATGAAGTGTAAGTCGTGGTTCACTGTTGTGTTCTTAAACTCCTCAACATTGCAGATAACAGTGTGAAAATACCCCTCTGGTGAGGAAAGAAAGTTGGCATAATACATCAAAACTGTCCTTGGGAGGTTGTCCCAACCCCATAGGCAATACTCAACAAAAGGCCGAGAAAGCATCATCCAAGCAGAACCTGAAAGTGAAAATGATATATGTCAAAACACAAGACCAGATTCACTCTAGTTCTCTTTAACATTATATTTTCCAAGACTTTTAGAGTGCTCTTTACTTTTGGATTTTCCAACCAAAGTATACCTGTGTATAATTTAAATGCTGTAGGAATGCCTCTTCTTTCAGGGACCCAATAGACATCAGATTTTTGAGTGCTGTACAGCCCAGGGTCGATTATAACAGGTCTTGCTCTCTGATACCTGTTGAAAACAAGAGAATGTTCACTCAGGTTCAAGACCTGTTGGATTAAAAACACCAAGGAGAAAAGATGAGCTACATACTCTTTCCACCCAATGTCACTAGTATGCTCAATAAAATTAAGTTCTCTTGGTATGGTTGATAATACATGCAGCAAATCTGTTGCACAATATAAGAAAGGAAGTAGGAAAAAATAACTGTCAAGTAACTGAAGATGGACTACAATATCCATTTAGAACAATATGAGCAGGTAACAAGCAGTAAGTCGTAAAGTAGTGCATGCACCATCAAACTCAAACATGGCCAACTACACTACTTGATTAAAAATGCGACAAAATGTCACACTTCGATAGATTATGCCTTCCTACAATTAGATTGGAGACGGTTATTCCTATACATTTCAGTACTTATTATCATGCTAAAATCGAAAAGTCTAGGTACCACTCCTGGTCTCCTGCAGTCCTGCTAGCATGTAACCGAATACATCTTCCTAAAATGAACATTTTGATCATGAAATCCAGAGTCCAAATATCAGAACTTCAGTTTCTAGCTAAACAATATTAACTTAGTATGAGTGCAATACACCTATCTTCAATGGAAACTTGTCGTTCACATAGCCAAATCTATCCATGGATCACCTTGTACTCTACCTTGTTTTTTAGGCTACACAACAAATCAGTTATTTATTCTAATCCAACAATTTACTAATACTATATAACATGACTACATGAGAAGATATGATGCTTATCCACGTGAGGCCATACATTCCCTGACAGACAGCTTCACTAATCTTAAACTAACAATAAACAATAGCCAGCAAGAATAATATCACTTACATTAGTCTAAAAAAAATGCTTAAAGTGATCACCAAAAGCTTACATTTTCTATATATACTTCATGACACCAAAGATAGATACACTAAAAGAGAATATATGCCCACCCAAAAAAGGGGCAAAAGATAAGAGCTTTACTTCAATTGTATATCAGCCAAATTACAAGATTCTAGCATTAAAATGGCAACTTTTGCAACTATAGAGAATAAAAGCAATGTAAAATCAAGCTTAAGCAATTAAAATTGTAACTAATACGCCTTATATTGCCATTAAATCTCAAATTAAGCCTACAATCTAATTAGAGTAAATACATAGTAATTACCAATTCCATAGACTAATCACTCGATTAATTTTTAATTCGAGTAGAAAAGAAAACCAGACAGACAGCCTAAATCATTCCCGAGACGAATAATAAGACAAACTTATCAATCCATATATTAAAAACATGACAATTACTATATCCAATACCAACAAACAAACCAAGAAAACAACAAATTCCAACAACATAAAATCCCCAATGAAATTCAACAACTTTTACTTAAAAGTTACAACTTACCATCCTGTGTTACAAGAGGATAATCAGAAGCACTCAAATTGATGAACCAATCCCAAGTACCACCTTCCTTCAACAAAATAGCCATAGCATGAAGTGTATTGCTCACCATAGTGGGTCCCCTATAAGTAACCAAATTACTCTTTGCCACAACTCTAACATTTCCCATCTCTCTAAAAACACTTTCTCTCTCTACAAAATCCATTAAATCCAATCTTTCGTCAGGTGGAGCTTCTAAATCAAGATGAACAGCATACTGATTTAATGGATGGTAAAGAGCTTTTAATGTTCTTTTCAAACTTTCACCATCACCCCTTGAACCAGAGATCAAATAAGCAATTTTTGGAATCGGGTTTTTGGAAATTGGTGAAATTTTCAACTTTGATTCAACAAATTCAGGGTTTTGAGGGTTTTTTTGATGGAATTGATGGGTTTTGTAAAATGGGGTTTTTGAGTTAAATGAAGTGAAAATGGAGAGTAGAATTAAGAAAGGAAGTAATAATAGAAAGAACCATTTCTTCCTTTTTTGGATTTGGGTTAATTTGTTGCTCAAATCCATGTTGATTTTGTTGTTGCTAATTCTGTATATTGCATTGGAATTTGGGGAACAAAAAATTAATTAAAAATTTTGGTTAATTTTGTATAATTTTGGGAAGTTTGTTGTTGTTGGGTATTAATTTGTTGATTCAGGTGAAAAGTATGAGGAATTTAATTTGGGGAAGTGGGTGAATGGTGGTGCGATAGAATATGGTGGTTGAAAGGTGTGATTATAAATCAAAAAAAAAAATGATGGGAAAACAAAAATCTAAAAATCATGATGTTCTTTACTACTACTGTGCTAAATTTTAGAGTCAATTCATTGTTTAATTAGAGAAAGAGAAAAAAGGCTAGGAAAAAGGTGGACTTTGTGCAAGACTTTGTATATAAGTAGGGTTGTACAAAAAGTTGAGAGAGGACTCACTCGAGTTACTTTATTAATCGGCAATGGTAAAGTGGTGGGGACTATTAATCAAGTTCTTTTGACAAAGAGGATCATTGTTTTGGGAGTCGGGATGTTACGAATTCAATTATATACTCGAGCATAGAAGATGTTATCGGTTGTAACTTTAATGGTGCGTGTGTTGTACATAGTAAGAACTCTAGGAAGAAGCAAGTAGGGTGCATTTGCACCATTGACACCATGGCATAGGTCAATAAAGTAATTGGATGATTGGATCAAACCATATAAAAAATCGACCATCTTTTGATCATAGGATAGAGGTGTTTGTGGGTAAAGTAATGGAGATATGATAAATCTTAAGTTTTTTTTTTTTTAAACCATATGATAAGTCTTAAGTTTGTTTAAAGGGATATAGATTAGAGGGGGGTAGGGTCTGATAAAAGTGTAAAACACTTAGGGACTTAGGGTTATAATTTTTTTTATTTTTTTTCAACAGCAAGCAATCTGTTACCGGAGGATCGTGGAGTGGTATTAGGGTAAAGAATGGGTACGGGAAAATGAAAAGATAATCTCACCAATGATAAAAGAAAGGAAAACTCGAGAAATGGAGTGTTGGGCTTTAATCTCTTCAACTTGTTCTTGTTACTAATACTTACTCTATATTTATTTATTTTTATTCTAGTTAAATCATATTAAATCTTCTAATTTTCGTTTACATATCTTTTGTAAAAATTATATGAAAATTAAATATTTAAATAAACACAATGAGATGAATTGAATCTAACAACCTCTCACTAGATAATGTTTTTTCTTATACATATACGTACAATTAAGGTCAAATTTCAATCAAATTAAACAATTAGACTATACCAAAAAAATTTAGATTAGACTAGACCACACCTTCCTTAAAAATTCACACGGAAGTGACAGAACACTTTATTTCAAGCAAAAAGTACAAAACTTAATTCTATTCTCATTACCAACTCTCAAATAAGGGTAAACACTTAGAATCAAGTTTGCTTATTTAACAATTATATTGTTTTATCAATTGGTAATGGATGGAGTAAATGAAACACGGATAAGTTAATCATCCGCGATTTTAACAATAGTCTTGCCAATGTTACGGCCACAAAAGAGACCTACAAAAGCTGAAGGGATGTTCTCTATGCCAACATGGATATCTTCAAGCACCTGCATTTGGCCTGCTTGGAGGTATCTTGATGTTGTTGATACAAATTCTTCGAAATTTTCATCCTTGTAATCGTTAGCCAGATATCCTTGCATGGTGATTCGCTTATACACGACGTCGATCATGTCGGGACCAGCTCTTCTCTTAGTAGGATCGGTGTACTGAGACATAACACCACATGCAACCACTCTACCAAAGGGGTTCATGTTTGCAACAGCAGCTTCTAGCATCTCACCACCCACATTGTCAAAATAGATGTCAATTCCTTCTGGAAAGTGTCTGCATTTGGTTTAAACACCCGTAAATTGCGTGTTATTTGTTATGTCCACATTTATATGTACGGTTTGACAAAAAAAAAAAAAAAAAAAAAAAAAAACTAAATAAATTAAATTAACATCATGATAATCATCCAAAATCGATATCACCACATAATAATATATGACCAAACCACAAGATTGTCTCTTAAATATTGCTAAGCATGCACACGCTCATTTATTATTCTATGTGTCGCTACGTGGAAAAAAAGGGTGTTGTTACAATTAAGGATTAGATACGAGTATGACCTTTGAAGAGCCAACTTCAAATCACTCTCTTCTTTATAATTGAATGCACCATCAAAGCCAAGTTTTTCCTTTAACATAGCAACCTACATAATATAACAATGGTAGTAGATATAATTAGTAAAAAAATGAAGATGATAATAAGAATCAATTTTTGAACAAGCTAAGATAAACAAAAACCTATATATGTAAAAAATAATTCACTAGCTTCCCTTCTAATTTCAGGTGATTGTGGGATTGATTCTCATCACTCGCCCTTTGTGGATCTCTAACCACAAAGGAAAATTAAAAAAAAAATAAATAAAAAAAAAAAAAATCACTAGCTAACCTTTTCAGTGGAACCTGCGCAACCAACAACATAGCAACCAAATAACTTAGCGTATTGCCCTACTAAATTTCCAATAGATCCTGAAGCAGTTGATACAAATATCCTCTCTCCCTTCTTTGGTTTGCCCACTTTGAATAACCCAGCATATGCTGTGAGTCCACTAAGTCCTACAAACACAAATAATATATGCATATTACTTTCACACTTTCATCAAAACCAGAGGAATTCCCTGCTTCCAACCATTTTGTCCATTTATAAATGGTAGAGCTCGAATTTATAACCTCAAAGTCAAAAAGTAAGTTTCTCACCATCTCCTCAGTGTGTTTGGTATACAAATATATTGGAGTTTATAGCTAGTCAAAGCACATGCTTCAACGAGATGAGACGATGATAATCTAAGGACATCTTATAATATATTTGTGATAAAAGATGTATATGGGATAACATAAAATTCAAAGTGAAGAATAAAAAGGAGCAAAGAGAATATGTACCAAGTATTCCGACATGGTATGACAAGGGAAATTCAGTAGGATCTAATAATTTCTGCAACAAATTGACGTCCTCCACCACGACATATTGTGCCCAATTCAATAGTCCAGTAACTAAGTCATCCTTTCGGAATTTAGGATGCCCTGAAGCCACAACTTTTCCAACTCCATATCCTTCAATTGACTGTTATTACCAAAACACTACAAATTTAATTAAAACATCCATTCCACTTTCAAATACAAGTAAAAAAAATACTCTATATATATTAGATCAAATCCTCCCCCTTACTTGCGACTCAAAAACTTTTTACAATAATAATACTCCATAATTTTATAATAATAAAAAAGTCAATTAATTTGTTGCGATTATTAATCTGCCTAAATTTGATCTTTATTTTACTGATTAATTCATCAACGCAAAATGCAAATTTCTAAAGGTTTAGAGCAAAAGATCGAATAGCCTAAACTTAAATGTGTTTTTATCAACAAAAATTAAATACTTTAAAAAAAAAATTATAAAAAAATAAACGAAGATTAAATTTAAATTACTGTAATTAGAAATACGAGTATTAGCCAAGCCAAACATTATCAATCTAAACATCAACACATATAATTAACCTCTTGGCCTATTTTTGTGGCAGTTTATACAAAGTGAATTAACATACCCAAAGGACATTATTCATTTCTCAAATAAAATCATATAGAAATTTATTCTCATTACCGTCCGTTATACTACTGTAGTAGTAAACAAGAAGACATTACCTTGCCAGGAACCAATTTGAAAGCCACAGCTACTGAATTCTGAGAAGTACTAAAACTCTTCATGCGGTTAAGTTGGTAAGGATCAATGGAAAGTTGAAGACATTTGACGAGGACATCGTTAGAGCCTGGCTTAATGGATGATGTGCTAATATTTGTGGTTAAAACCTCAAAATCATCCTCCTTTGGTGCTCCTTCTATGGTGTGCTTTATTGTCACAAACTTATTGCCTATAATTTCTTCCATTTTTGTTTGAGCTAATTCTCTCAATTGTTGCACATGTTTTTATTGTTTGTTTGAGACTTATAATTGGTTTATACTTCGTATTACTATGAATCTACGTACAACCACAAATTGTTGCCCGTACAACACTTTCGTTCCGATATACTACGTATCTAATTATGTATGGCTATTATTTATTTGAAAGGACATAAAGAGAAAGGTGAGTACTAATCAAAAGTGGTACCAACTACCAACTACTATAGTACTCCATAGTCCATACTTCGTATATTACTAGAGTCATACAAGTACGTAACATGTAACATGCCAATATACTAGAGTCATATAACTACTCATTAAGATGAATCACTAAGCTCAAAATAAATACGTACTCTATATTATACTTCGTAATGTAATTTGAAGATTCTCTAAACTTATGAATTGATATCTTTTTAAAAGTATGAGTAAGCTCTTATTAATAGTGTTGAGACTATTATGCCTCTACATATTTACCCTTTTTGAAAGTATGACCATACTTTATCAATAGTGTTGAGGCGATTATGTCCCTAAAATGTTTATTTACATATATGTCCGGCCTCATTAATGTTAATTGTTTTTTAACTCTTAAGAATAGCATGTGGACATATATACCTCTAAAAATATTTGTTTATACATTTTCCCTACTTAATGAAACTAACAACGCCAAACTGAAAGAAATTCCGGACATGGTTAGCTATGACGCGCACATCGCGCGCGTTAGCCGCCTTAATACTGCCAAGATTTCAAAGGCAAAAAAAAAAAAAAAAAAAAAAAAAAAAAAAAAAAAAAAAAAAAAACTTAAGTTATATGGAAACTTTGGGCCAAAGCTTCATGATGGGTTGGCCCAACTTTGGGCCAAAAATGCTGTTCCCAAACCCCAAAAAGTCTTAGCTGACTATAGTGTAGCTTGAATAGCTGCACCACTGCCTATAGAATGAACATGTAGTAAAAAATATGAACATGTAAAAAAAAAAAAAGAACATTTAGTACTTACAAAGTAAACATGTTAAAAAAAAAATCATTTAGTATTAAAAATAAAAATGATAGTCACAAATTTGCTAGGCCACGACCTTAAAAATGAACATTTGGTGTAAAAATAATTATGAACATGTAAAAAAAAAATAAAAAATAATAAATATTTATTAATAAAAAATGAACATGTCAAAAACAATTATGAACATTAGTATATTAAAAATGAACATTTATCATACAATATTAAAAATGAACATTTCATAAAAATATATGAATATGTTACAGAAAATGAACATTTTATATAAAAAAATGAGCACGTAAAAAAAATTATGAACATTTAGTATATTCAAAATGAGCATGATTTTCTCATATTCATATAAATTCAAATTTATTGTACATAATTATTAACGAAAAATAAAGATAAAATAAATCATTAAAATATGTTCAATTTTTATGTACTAAATGTTCATTTTTAGTGTACTAAATGTTCAATTTTAAAGTACACCGTGTTTATTTTTCTTTGTTCCAAAAATTATACACAAATATTAGCAACTCAATTAAAAAAAAAATCAAAATTCATAATAACAAACAAATTAAAGATGCAGCAATTCAATTCATCACAAAAACTCATTAATTAAAATAATTCATAAAAAATTCAAAAAATTAAGTTGAAATAGTCTAATTCACTAGATTATCAAAAAGTCAATTGAAATTCATCAAATTCCTCAAATTGAAATTCACCAAATTAAAAAATCAGAAAAATCAATTACAAATTCAACCTAAATGTAACCTAATTAAAATTATTAAAAATCAACAACAAAAAAACTAACCTGCATTGATAATCTATTCCTTTTTTTTTTAACAACCAAATTCATAATAATGTAGAAAATAAAGGAAAAGGAAAATGGTGACGATCGCGACGAAGATGATGGAGGATGTTACAATGGTGACGAATTGGAGAATATCCAAAGTAGGAGGATAAAGAAGTTTAAAGATTGAGGTATAATGAGGTAAGAAAGAAATTTACTTACGAGGAAAGGAGAAAAAAAAAAAAAAAAAAAAAAAAAAAAAAGAGGAGAGAGAAAATTTGAATGGAGAAGAAAACAAAAAGAGAAAATTAATGGAGGTAAGGAAGAAGAAGAGAGAGAGAAAGAGGGGTAAATATAAGGAAGGGAGAAAAAACTTATGTTCATTTTTGAAGTACTATATGTTCATATATATGGTTGTTGCAGCTAGCTTAGCTGCACAAGTGTGTAGCTAAGAAATTGTGCCTAAACCTAGGGCTGAGCAAAATTATCCGAAAAACTGAAAATCCGAACCGAAAATTAGGGTACCCGTTCCAATAACCATAACAGTTCGAGTACCCGATCCGGTAATTTGTTATCGAATAGGGTTATCGGGTATCATTTTAAAATTAACGGTTACCCGATCCGATCCGATAAGCAATTTTTTTTTTCCTACTTAAATCTATTTATCCAAAATCTAAACTCTTACTCTAGTTTTTTATTTTTTCAGTGGTAAATTGTAAAAAATCTTATTATCTAGGTAAACTCCAATTTCCTATACAAATCCAATGGTGACATTAATGAAGTTATAAGTTTAACCCTAGTTAATTAAAGATTTAATGACTAATTTAACCTTAATCCTTAATTCTAGCTTTCCTCCAAAACCTTCAACCACCATGAATAGCCCTCCCCAACCAAGCCCTTACACCGGCAACCCCTTCCCCTACCCTCGCCAGCCGTTCCAGCCCCTTTCCCTCCCTCGCCGGCCGTCTTTCGTTGCCGAAATCTTATAAAAAAAACACTAACGACTCTACCTTTCCTGGCCTCCGAAGCATCATCGCCGCGGTCAAAGGAGAGAGAAAATCATCACATCGTCAATTACCTTATGTTGACGATTCTATGGCGGCGGCAATCGGTAACCCTTCTTCTTTGTTGGATCTCTTATTCAAGTACAAGAATATTCGCTCAACCTATTTTCCCCAAATTCAATTGTAAGAATCTTATTCAATTTTTTAGGTTTGATTAATTTGTAGGGCAATAATGAATAATTTAGTAATTTACTTGTTATTTTATTGCGATATGTTGATTAATTAGTGTTAGAAATTTGATTTTGCAGGTGAATTAAAAGTTGGGAAAGATATGATATTTGAGGGATTGTTTGGGGGTGACTTGTGGTGCTATTGTTTTGATCGGCGGCCGAAGCTGGTATTGACGGAGAAAAGGGGGGGGTCGCGGCTACTGTGCGGTGATGGCAGGGACTGCTATGGAAGCAGCGATGGCTGGTGCATTGGGGGTTAGTTGCAACAGTGGTTGTGATATATGAACGGCCAGTAGGCGATTGATGGTGCGCTAATGGAAAGCCATCGTTGATTATGGTGGTTGGGCTGTTGTTAGATTGCTGCTGAGATTAGGAGATGAGGTGCGGCTGTTTGTGTTGGTGTTGAATCGTTAAGGGGTGGTGGTTTAAGGGAAAGGAGAGACACGCCAGCCGGCACGGGTGAGGGAGGTCGGCGCACCCGAGAGGGAAGGACTGGGAGCGGGCGCCGGCGTGGGAAGGGGCGGGGGAGAGGTGGTTGGTCGGTGGCAATTGGGTGGAAAGTGTAAGGCGGAAGAAAGAGAAGAGGATGAAGATGATAATCATGGGTTCATGATGATGACAGTTGGGTTTGAGTGTATTAGTGTATTAAGTGAGGATATTTTAGTAATTTCAATTTTTTTATTTTAAAAAAATGTTAACCATGGTTAAGCATTCACTAGATTATTTCATTAAGTTCACCGTCGAATAATTATAATTAATTAGGATAATAAGAATTTTACAATTTACCACTGAGAAAATAAAAAGTTGCAGTGTTACCAAAGTGAATTTCCCTAATTTAAATGACTTGTAATTATTGGTAATTTGGTCATGATCATGTGATATTATTGTTGATTAGTGTTGAATGATATCATAATAACTATATTTTAAAGTCTAAATTTCATTATTGGATATCATATTGGGTACTCGATAACCGATCCGAAAATTCGGGTACCCAAAGTTTGAGTACCCGAACTTATTGGTTCAGGTAATGAATATCATTTTTAGTGTTATTGGTTATCGAGTACCCAAACCAATAGTGTTAACGGTACGGGTACCCGACCCATGCTCAACCCTACCCAAACCCCACTTGTTTTGGGCCAAAATTGTGCCTAAAATTTGAATTTTCACAAATTCCCCAAAAAAAAAAAAAAAATCCTCAACTCATTTTGTGGATTGCTAAACATCGCCCGCAAATTTCCACATAAAGCCCACAAATTTTCATTGAATTGACACTTTTGCCCTTAATATAAAAAAAAAACCTCACACACTCTCATCACCCAACCTCTCACCCATCTTCTTTCTACCGCAAGGAATTGGCGGCGGCGGAGGCGGCGGAGGCGGAGGAAGGCGGTCACGGTGGCAAGGTAATTTTTTTAAAAAAAAAACCTCGAAGAGGGCGGGGTGCTTGGCTAGGACGCCATGGCCACGGTGGTGGCGCCCAAGCCAGACGCCAACCCCATAGCGGCGGCGGCTTGGGCGGGACGCCAGGGCCACGGTGGTGGTGTCTTGCGAGGGCACCGCCGCCGCCGTGGGGCTGCCGTCTGGCCTGGGCGCCGCCACCCTTTTTTTTATTTTTTTTGTCTATGTTTATATATTTTTTTCAGTTTTCTGTAAAAAAAAATAAAAATTTCCAGACTTTTTTTTTTTTTTTTTGTTTATGTTTATATTTTTTTTTTTCATTTTTTTTGTATATTTTTTTTGTTTATTTCAAATTTGCTGTATTTTGTTTATGTTTATATTTACTTTTCAATTATTTGTATGTTTTTTTTTCCAATTCTGTTGTATTTTAATTTTTTTTTATGTTTATATTTATTTTGTATGTTTTGGTAATTTTTTTCTTTTTATTTTGTATTTTTTTGTTTTTATTTATTTTGCAGTGTTTTGTTAATTTTTTTTATGTCAATTTGTTAGTATTATTTTTGTTTATTTGATATTTTTTTGGTTCGTTATTTTTTTTAATTTTTTTTTATGTTTATATATATTTTAATTTTTTTAATGGAGTTAGGTATCGCATTTTTGACCTGGTGCGGGGAAGAGTATGGAAGTTAT